TACTGTTGTACAATCTTCCTTTCTTCCGCATAGATTTGGTGAAAATTTAATAAACAGTAATTACAAAAATGATAAGAGAAAAAAAATCTTCTTTGTTTTTTAAATTATTCATTTAATGGACAGCTAAAAAGGTAAAGGACAAAAAAAAGAAAGAAAAAAAAAAAGGATAAAAACAAAAAATACAGAATAGAAGTTGAAAATGAATTACAAATTTGTCTACGCATCAACTGTATTATGAATTTTTGAAAAATTTTTTCAACTTTTTGAAAGTTTATAAAAGTTTTCTAAAGATGACGTCACCAGTTTTTTTTTTTTTTTGCTTTTTATATGATCTTTGCTATATTTTACTATCTTTGGTTTTCACCAAGCAAATAAGTAAAATTAAAAGTTGTTGAAACAATGAACAATAATTGATGACAGAAAAAAGCTTCTTGTAAACTTTCTCCTTCTTTTTTTTTTTTCTACGCAACAATATTTACTAATCTAATTAATGGATTCAAAATATAACTTTTAATTTTTTGTTTTTGTATTGTATGAACTGTTAATGATTGATTCATTCTGTTTTGATGCAATTCTGTTTTTTCCTTTTTTTTCATTTGCACTTATTTAGTTGCTGTACTAAAACTGTTATTTTTTACTTTCAAACAAAACAACTACACTTTTCTGTATCATTTTGGTTACCACATTTTGTCGTTTGCTCCTTTGAGATACGCTGCAGCAATTCTGAGGCTTCTCGTACCGCCGCCACTGTATCACAGCGGTATCGCTTGAATCTCAGACGGCTGACTCTCAACTTCAGAGAGGCTGACTGCCACATTGGGTTGTCTTCAGCTGGTGGCGGATCTTTGTTGTTGCTGTGGTTGTTAAAATTGACAAAACTATCCTTCAATTGGATTCATTTCAAAGCTTCTTTTTTTTCCTATTGAAAACATTGAAAACCAGTGAGAGCTGTACGAAAGGTCGAACTGCAAAAGAAACAAAATTCTGTATTTTTTCAACCCTTTATTGGCTTCTTTCTTTCCTTGCTCATTTTGCTTCTC